AAAAACATACTGGCACAAAAATATACCCGTAGATCAATGGAATAAAATTGAAGACCCAAATGTGAGTACATGTGATTTCAGCCACCTTATATTTAACAAAGGGGCCAAGAACATTCACCAGAGGAAAGACAGCATCTTCAGCAGATGGTGCGGGCATAACTGAATCTCCACCTGTAGAAGAATGAAACTAAACCCCTATCTTTCACCTTGCACAAAAGTCAACTCCAAATAGATCAAAGGCCTCAATGTGAACCCTGAAACTCTGAAGCTGTTAGGAGGAAACATAGGCAGTGCCATTGGCAAAGACCTAAAAGATACAGGTGTAGGAAAGGATTTTCTAAATCAGACATCAATTGCTCAGGAAACAAGCTCAAGAATCAACAAATGGGAACTCATTAAACTAAAAAGCTTCTGTACATCAAAAGAAGCAACCAAGGAAGTGAAGAGAAAAACCACAGAATGGGAGAAAATCTTCACCAGTAACACACCTGACAAAGGTTTAACATCCAGAATATATAACAAACTCAAAAGCAAAGACTTAAGCAAGGAAGTTACCCAATTAAAAGATGGGCTAAGGAGCTGAATGGAGTTCTCAAAAGAAGAAATAAAGATGGCAAAGAAGCATCTTAAAAGGTGTTCAACATCACTAGTAATTAGGGAAATGCAAATTAAAACCACTTAAAAATTTTATCTTACCCCAGTCAGACTGGATAAGATCAAGAGAACAAATGATACCAAATACTGGAGAGGATGTGGGGTTAGGGGAATGTTCATCTACTGCTAGTGGGATTAAAAACTTTTTCAACCCCTATGGAAAGCAGTGTGGAGAACTCTCAAAAAACTACAAATGAACCTACAATTTGACCCAGTTATACCACTCCTTGGCATATACCCAAGTAACTCATCCTATTGCAGAGACACTTGTACATCCATGTTTGTTGCTGCTCTTTCACAATAGCTAAGAGATGGAAACAACCTGGGTATCCCTCAAATGATGAGTGGATAATGAAAACGTGGTTTATTTATATGATGGAGTTTTAGTCAGCAAAGATGAAAGATAGATGAAATCATAAAATTTGCAGGTAAATGGATGGAACTAGAAACTGTTATACTAAGTGAAGTAACACAGACTTAGAAAAAAATGATGTATGTTCTCCCTCATATGTGGATCCTAGCACCAAATCCTTACAAGTCAGTATGTATCCAGACATAACTACAGGAACCAGGAAAATGAAAAGGAACCAGGGAGGTAAAGGAAAAGAAAGAATCAGAAAGAGAAGAACCATTGGAAACAGGTGTTAATAAAGGAGATATGGATAAAAATTGGGTTATATTTCGGGGAGAGGAGAGGGAGCATTATACAAGGAACCTTCGGGAATGAAGGGAAAGAAGGAGCTCAAGGGAAGTGGACCATAGGAGAAGGGTATTGTTGAGGAAGAAATGGGAAAGATGGGGGCACTTTAAATGGGGAAACCATGGTGGAAGGGATAGACAGTGTGAGAGATAAATAATGCGTAAATGCTTTTTTAACAAAACAGATGGAACCATATTAACTGAACAACCTACCGACAAATTACACATACAACTAGCACAAGGAATACAATATGTGTCTAGAGAAGGTTTATCTGAGAACGTTTGGTCTTTGCCCAAGCTTTATCTACATTCACATGGTAATTAAAAGTACCAGACTGGTGGAACTAACCTTCTTGGATGTTTAACAGCCATACTTTGAGGCCTGTACTTATTTGGTCAGAGGGACATAAAGGATAGTTTTTACTCCTTACCTTCTTAGGTCAACTATGTTCCAGGAGACTATGAACATCTCTCAAAATGTCCTGTAACTGTGGTGAGTCACCTGTCCTCATGATCAAGGAGGCCATGGAGACCCCATCAAATGGACTTTAACCAGTGTCCAGTCTACAAAGAGGAGGGTCAACACAGAGGAAATATTTCCTCCATGCTCCCAAGTCAAGCCAGCCAGGGTCAAGCAGGACCTTTTACTTATCTTCACATAGATGGAACTGGTAAAATAAAGGGGCCAGGGGCTCCTCCCAAGCTCATGTGACCACTGAGGAACAGATACTCAAATGGCCTTAACAATAAAAATAAATTGGTTTATCTGGACCAACTATATGGTCTTAAACACCCAAAAGAAAAGTATAACCAAAGATTAATTGGGTCAATATAATTTTTAAAAGTCCATATGTATAGCTAAAGTCTACATAACAAGAAACAATGCCAGACAGGAGATACCTTCCTTTGAGTTGTTGGCCAGGGTGGCCCAAGAGACTCCCAGACAGAAAACCAGCATAGAACTGGGAAAATGAACAGCAGACCCCAATCTTATCTAAAGGAATATTGACAATGGATTGCTGCTGGATGAGGAACAGCTGATCTTCCTACAACAATGATCTCTGGATAGGCTGACTAGATTCAGTGGATGGACAAGCACTGGGTAACTGCTGGGGGCACCGACAACACAGTGGACCATAACATGGATAACAGAGTATATGGGCTCCAGTTGAGGGGAGTCTTATGGGAGGGTTCCATTTGGGAAGTGGGTATATAGATGAATAAGATTGTTTGGGATGTTCTGTATAAAATATACATGCAAAAAAATCAACAAATTTAAAAAATGAGTTATATTTGTGGAAGAAGCATAAAAATTTGCTTCACGTTAATTAGTAGAGGTGAAAAACATTACCACTGAAATCTACCTGATGACTTTATATCCATACTCAGGTGCTAAATATCCAAGTCATTAGTAGCATTAAAAATGAGTTTTTCTGCATGAAACAGTATGTTTTAAAATGAAATGGAGATCTTTTTCAAAGATTAATACCTCATTCAATTTTATGTTTTATAGGGTTTATATTGAGTTCAATATTGTATAACTGTATCAATTCAACTGTGATCCTAAAAATTTACAGCCACTTTTGAAAGAGATGCATCTTTCCTCTGGAAATTGTTATTGCATAAGTTAATGCTGTAGTAAAATGCTTCTTCTAATTATGTGGTTATTAAATAATTTTTTTTAAATTGAGCACATTCTGGGCTGCAAAACAAACCCCAACAAATACAAAAATTTGTGGAGATTGAAGAACGCACTCCTAAACAATGAGTGGGTCAAAGGTGAAATTAAGAAACAAATAAAAGAATTCCTGGAATTCGATGAATAGGACAATACAACACAACCTCTGGGACAGACTGAAAGCAGTCCTAAGAGGGACATTTGTAGCTCTAAGGACCTACATTTAAAAATTAGAAAAAGCCCAAATAAATGACCTAACACTGCAACTCAAGACACTGGAAAGTCATCAGTATATTTCTTTAAGAGTTCAAGGGATGACACTTCTCAGATGTTAGGCTTAAATCCATATAAAAAGTTATTTAGACAATTATTTCTCATTGATGATTTTGTTCTGAATCAGAAAGTGCTGCTCAGAGCAGTAAGACTTCAAATCTTTGACAATACTGTAGTGCCCACCTGTAGCTAAGTGTGACATCCGGCTATTGTTCTAAAATGATGGCCAAATTTGTTTTCTCACCCTATCTAGAAGCCTTTGGGAGGGAACTGATACTGATTCTAACCAATCCAACAGCTATGAAAATGCCTGAAAGCAATCCTGAATCCATCACTCTAGAGGCCAGCCTTGGAAGACAAACGAAGAATGAAGAGGAACCCAACAGAGGGATGCTTTTTGAAGCTCTCATAAAGAAATTCCAATGGACTCTCATATGAACATTTGAAATTTGACCTGTTCTGACTTTTTTCTAGTTCCCTATCTAGAACTTGTGCCTTTACTTCTTCTTCACATCTCCTAGTCACGATTGAAGGACATTATTTTCCCCTTAGAGATAAAAGTTATGCAATTTGGGGTCTCTTAGATAGACCCACTGAAGGGGTACTCCAATTGCCTCACCCTGCATCCCTGTTCAGCATGGAAGAAGCCAGAGCGGTCTGCATCCTGATTCCCTATCAGCAATTTGGGTAACCTCTTCAGAGGATGGTGTGATAAGAATAGGAGATAGGAATTGGCTAGGCAGGGGAATGTAGGCCGTTAGGATAATGTAGGGTAAAGAAATGTATCCAGTTTCTTGGCTAAAAGTCAAAATGTCCTTGGGCCTCTTAGCAACATGCTCTGTTCCAAAGGCCAAAAATGTCAACAGTATTTGGGAGCTCTTATCTAATCCTTAAAAGCTTTTATGGTTACCTCTTCAGAGGAGGAAATGACAGAGTAGCAAAAAGCCCCATTAAAAAAAAAAGAAGAAGAAGAAGAAAGAGTACATGAAGTTATCAGAGAAAAGTGCTGGGGAGACATGGGAGGAGTTAGAGGGGACGGAGCGGGCATGGATTTGATCAAAACATCTTATATGTTTATATGCCTGTATGAAATTCTCAATAAATTATTTTTTAAAAACTCACTGATACCCTGAAAATATTTTTTAATTTTTATTACTTATTTGAGAATTTCACAGAAGTAATTCAAAAAATAAAGAATATCAGTTTGTAGAACTGTAAATGTGTTTTAATCATAGTTTTCCATTATCCTAACCCTTCACAGGTCTATCCCAGTTCTCTACCCACAGGACTTTCTGTACTTTTTTCCCCATTGAATCCACCTCCATTGCCCAAATGCTATTGATTATGGAAACTGCCCTGGAGTATGATCAACATACCAGGGAACACATTCTCAGATACTGTGAGTAGAGCGTTTGAAAAGAAAGAGAAACAGTGAATGTGGTTACAATCAAAGCAGACTACAGAACTGTAAGAAAATTTCACAATACAGTAATGAAATGCACTATTTTCTCCAATTTTTATACACAAACGAAATTATAAAATGAATATATACAGAAGTAGATATCCATGTTATCCAAAGGTCTTGATATATTCAGTAAAGTACAGAATGCAGAAAGTTTCTTTAGCAGTTCACATCTGAACCACTTAGGTGAAGTCATTTTGCTTTAGACTTGATAATGCCTAGCAAAGGCCAGGGCAGCAGCTCTGCAAGTTAAACTGTCAGAGGAGTTGCCATTGTCACAACAGAAAGCGATTTGTGTCTCACTTCCTCATCTGCCTGTGTCACTGTGCCAACTTTATCAGTGCTATCCCAACTGTTACAGTAATAATCAGCCTCATCCTCAACTTGGGCTCTGCTGATGGTCAGGGTGGCCACGTTTCCTGAGCTGGAGCCAGAGAACCGGTCAGGGATCCCAGAGGGACGCTCACTATCTTTATATATGACCTGCACAGGGGCCCCGCCTGGCTTCTGCTGGAACCAGTAAACATAGTTTTCTGATAGTTTATCCCCAGAGCAGGTGATTCTGACTGTCTCTCCTAGTTTCACTGACGCTGCTGGAGGCTGAGTCAGTACATAGGAGGCCATGGAACCTAGAAGAGAGGAGAGGGGAAGCATATTGTGAGTGGGGAATCCCTTCCCAGGGCCCACCCAAACACTATGCCAGGAACCCAGTTTAGGGTTTTAGCCAGGCATACTCAGGGTCCTGAGGAGGCTGAACCTCGTGAAATATCCTGGCCAGGTTACCTGTACAGAGAGAGAGGAGAGGGAGGAACAGAGTGGTCCAGGCCATGGTGGAGATGCCACAGAGCTCTGAGTCTTGAGACTCACAGCACAGTTGGGCTCTTCAGGCCTCATTTATTGTCTCTCAGGTCCTTAAGATGCAGAGTGTTTAGTAACTATGCAAATCTATTATCCCACTGGGGCTCCCCATTTAGACCTATGCAGACAATATTCTTCACATCTACTAGGTGGAGCAGATTGAGAAGGAGGTGTGGAGCCCCTTCTAATTCAGGCTATTCACTGCTCAGAAAATCATCCTAACCTTCTATGGCCAGTGATCAGAGTCACCTTCCAGAAGTCTAAGCCCCATCAGGTCTTGACCCTGCTGACCTATGTTCAGTGAGGCTGTGGACTTTCCCTGAACCTGCCCATGGCTTGAGCTTGATCCTGTAGACAACACTTGACACCTGGCACAGGAGAAGGGGGGCCATGGCCCCTTCACCCTTTTCCTCCTTCTCTCTGAGTCACAAAACATCAATGTGTCCGTCCTTGTGATTTCAATATGATAAAGTTTATGTCATTTGGATTTGTGATGAAAACTTTCCTTTGTTATTTTGCTTAGTAAGCAACCTCCTGTTTTTTAGGATGTCATGAAATGTTCAGTCACATTTTTCATGTAGAATGTGTGGTCTTTCTGACTTCATTGTTCTTACAGTTGGGTAGCATGTTTTCCATGACCTTTTTATAAGTGTCACAATCAAGATCTTCTTGAGAAACATATGCCAGTTCCTGTAAGCTGTGGGAAGGACATCAGTGTAGTATTCTATAGAACTTACAATTGGACTGTAGATAATCAGAAATCCCTGACTCAAGGAGAATCCTGATTCTGAGCCAGTACAGCCAGGGTCACAGTTATGCCTGGAGTCAGATGGTGTCCAAGTCATCCTGCAGCTTCTCCAAAGAAAATGGCAGAGACTCCATGCAGAGACAGAGACATGAGCTCCCTCTTCTCTATGGTAGATTGCACCTCAGCAGAGTACACTCACTTGGGTCGGTGTTTTGCCAATGTTCTGGAGTGAGTCGGAAAATACGATCCTCACAATAGGGTCACTGTTGACCAAAAATTGACCCTTTGATACTTGCTGAACCCTGGGCTAGCATCACATCTTGAACACACCCTGAGTGGCCAAGCCTGTCCTGAAGCAGCAGCTCGGCTGCCCCCTGCTGGCAGAAGTTCAGGGAGTGGACCATCTCTCCTCCCTGAGGGAAGGAGACCAACCCTATTGTGTGTCCGTTCCATCTACACCACCCTCCCCAGATTAGCACAGAGAAGCGATGTCTGTGTTGTGTGGAGAAGCAGGACAGGGTCAGTCCATGGACCCTGTCCCTTGGTTGAAATTCACTTTTCTGTCCTTTTGCTGTTTTCTTTCTTTTTCTTTTTATCATTGGTTTTGTGAGTCGCATACTATAATTCTAGCTGAGCTAGAATTTACTATGTAGTCCAAACTTAGTTTAAACATTTCCACCTCCTATCTCAGCTTCTTAAATGCTGGGATTACAGGCATGAGATGTCACTTTTAATGTATTGTTTTACTTATTTAATTATATATTTTTCTTCAAATTATGGGAAGCAAATGATAGAAGACATTTGTTTGCAAGAAACACACAGAAGTGTTCATAGCATCTCTAGGTGATTGGTCATTTATGTGTTTAGGAAGGTAGACTAATACTGCCACACACCAGTAAGGGCAGGTGCTAGCTACAGGTGACATCTGAAGCTTCTGTATCCAATGCGCAGGTTTATATGGATCATTGCCATCATGATTCGCATCACCATTATGATTCTCATCACCATTATGATTCTCGTCACCATCACCACTATTTTTATTGCTGTTCTTATCTGGTCTCTTCCCGCTCCTGGCTGTGCCAGAAGACTTCAATATGTGTCTAGCCCATCAACGATATAAAACTGTACATACTTGTTTACTCATATATGGAGACAATTGTTCCCATTGTAAGGGAACATGCTCGGTACTAAGCCTCTTTTCTCTTATTTCTATAGGGAAAATATGCAGGATATTCCAAGACCAGAGGCAGTCATCATGACTCCACTAGCTCTGTCTTAAATAATAGACTATTTTAGCACTTTGGTATTTATATTCTAAAATTTAGTTTCCTAAGGGCAGTACACCCTTCCCCATGTTACAATAGATAATGATGAGAATTTGAGTTTCTATAAAGAGCAGGAAAAAGCTGGTTCAATCTAAGAGTGATAAAGGATATTCTGTATTCAGGTCCTGAGCATTCTGAGACATATGATGACCAAGGTTAATTCTTCTAAAGCAGTTTATGGCCTAGTTGACCACCATCTCCATCATGGCCTAGCCATCATCAGGAAAACAGCTCATCCTTCAGATAATGGTGTCCTTGGATGGAGAACAGCTGGAAGCTCAAAAGTCTGTGTTGGGAAAGGCTGCTGTGCTGGGCAGGGTTGGCCGTGCTCCTGCAGGCTCTTCATGTGTTGTTGCTGTCTGTTCCTTTCTCTTGTGCAGGTTAAGAGCAAGTGGAACTTGGTCAGCTCTCTTGGGGTACGTGAGTATTCAGGGTGCCCCAGGCCTACTGGTTCAGGAGATGAGAGATCATTCTCAGGATCTTCCCCAACAGCACCTCTTGGACTGATCTCACAATCAGTGCCAGGCATGGAGTCCTGTTGGGGCTGAGCCAGGTGGCAAGGCCTGGAGATCTCTTCTGCAAATGAGAAAAAGGAATGTGAGACAGGGGACCAGACATTGCTGGAGATAGCCCAGTTTGTATCCACAGCTGGGTAGAGCTTCATGCTCCCTGCCTACCTATCAGGAAACCAAGACTGTCATCAAAGATATGGGGAGAACTCTCGATGTTTCCAGGGGAGCCCAGAGGGGAGCAATCTAAAGGACAAGAGAGGAAAGGTTGCTTACTCAGGCCCCATTCCCAAGTTCACTATTCCCTCAGAATGAGAGAGATGCTTGAGTCATCTCATTGTAGCACTACACATCCACAGGCCCACTTCTGGAATATGCTAGCGTCAAACAGGACTCCAGGTACACTGTGCTCGTGCTTGCAACAAGCACGACCTGATTGTGATCGTAAGTCAATCAGCCAACTTTTAACATGAAGAATAATGAACAAATGACTTACAGATTTAAGATTGTTCCACATACTGTCTTCATTTAAATTGTATTAGCCTTCTGTTTTCAATTTAGACACTTTAAAAAGCTCAGAAGTAAAATAATGATTAACTGAATGAAAACAGTTCATTATTATTTAGATTGGAATTTTAATGATCATCTACAGAGTCACCTACCAAGTTCCCATGATTAACAAGGAAGGAGATGCTGACACCATCTGGGTTAGAAATGCTGTGTAGCCATGTGGGAGGTGTGAGCAGGGTGAGACAGGAGTGGCCCGGAGGGGCTTCCAGGATGAATTCAGATTTTCTCATCTTAGGCTTAGTGGTTTGGCGATCTCTTAGAAGGTCCTGATGGGCTGATTCCAAAACATGGAAGAAGGTGCCCATGGTCCTAAGGTCAGTTAATTCTCACCAGCTGGCTAGGGAGGGAAGATGATTTCTCAGGGATGTCTGCTGTGGTGTTTCCATGAATTAATAAAGTAGAGAAATTCCTACCTTACCAATGTCTGTCTGTTTACCATTATTATATATGAGTAATATTACTGAATAATATCTAAGAACTTCAAATTTGCCTCATTGGTTTAGAAGAGTGGAATATATACATTTCAGGGAATTTGATATTTGGTCCTCTTACTGCTGGGGACAGTTCTCCAAGTAACAAATCAGTATAGGCTAACAAGTTCAGAGAAACAGCTCTGACATTTTCCTATGAAATCACATATTCACGGTTTTACAGATCCACTTTTATAGGCCCAATTAACCTGATTTACTTTTGAAGGTTCCCCACTAGCACCAAGTACAAAGCAAGAAAAAGTTACCACCTTCTTAACAACTTTTTCATGCAAGCATGGTTTTGATACATTTTAGGAGGCAGTGTTAAACCCATTTCATTCAAACCCTTAAACCCAAACTCCTATTTGCCTCACAAACAAAATGTATTCATTGCTTCTCAACAGAGGAACATTTAATCAATTCATCATAAATTCCGACAGCCCTCCTTCTCAAACTTCCTGTTAACTACCCCCTTCTTACACGTTTCTCCCTTAGTAAGGCTTATCTACTACTATTCCTCTCTCTCTCTCCCTCAGATTCCTTCTTTGCCTTGACCTCCCTGGTTTCCTTCCATTTTCTGGTTCCTGCAGGTATATCAGGGGAGAAGGAGACCTACACAAAGAACTACTGGAAGAAAGGAGAAGAAGGAGCTCAAAAGAGGTGGCATCATAGCAGACAAAATTATCAAGGAAGAAATGGGAGAAATGAGGACAGGTTAAATGGGGAGGGAGGATAAGACCGGGAGAGAAAGAGGAGACATAAATAGTGCCTAGCTAGTATAGAAAACCAGAAGGAATCATATTAGTCCGAAAAACCTACTGAAAAATTACACATACAGTATCCCTACATGAGTCTGTGAGCACAGCTGAGGACTACATAACAATAAACAGTGCCAGACAGGAGGAGCCTTCCTCTGAGTTGTTGGCCAGGGTGGTCCAAGAGACTCCCAAAATTACACATCTCGAGACACTAACTTTATATAATAAGCCTTAATACAAATGGCAGAATGTATTAACTCCAGGGGCAGGGGCGGGGTATGGGAGGGCGCCAAAGGGGAAGGGGGGAGAGGGTATAAAAATGATTTCATGTATGAAATACACAGAAATTCAACAAAAAAAATTTTAAGGGGTGGGTCTGGAGAGATGGCTGAGTGATTAAGGGCACTTAATACTCTCCCAGAGAACCCAGGTTCAGTTCTCAACACCCGCATGGCAGCTAACAATTGTCCGTAACGCCAGTTCAGAATATCCAAGACCCTCTTCTGGCCTGCAAAGGCACTGCATGCACATGCTGTACTTACATGAAGCCAAATTGTTCATATACATAATTTTTAAATAAATAAAATATTTAAAAATATAATTAAGAGACAGGAAAGAAGTGTTACCACA